TCTAGTGCTGCATTACAAGGCCTTTGGCCGAAATAAATAAGGGGAAGAAAACTAAGGGGAAGCTTCCTACCACTTTCCTAGAATCAAGTGTATAATATCCATTTGTTTGATGCCTTTGGTTTGTCTTCATTGATCAGTGTTAAAGGATGAATATGGGGTGTTTTTGATGAGGGGATTTCGGCCATGTGAAGGGTGAGGGAAGGGGGTGGTTTGGTTATGTGAAGGGTGAGGTGAGGGGCTGGAATTTTTGTCCACACCTGAGAAATAATACATTAAGGATTGTCCTTCATTCCTTTGGTTTTATTGTGGATTTGAAGGGTGATAAATGGGATATTTGGGGGGGGGGGTGAATTCGGCCATGGGCATAAGGGGGTGTGGGTTTGATGTATTATCACAACAGGACAAAAGACATGTTTTATTTCTTGTCCCCTGTTTTGTTCCTCTTGTAGTGGGGAATGTTTGTGATGGATGGGGACTGATTTTAAGGACAAATGGGGCATTTTTCGTGACTTTGAAGTAGGAAGGGATGGGGAAGGTTCTTATTTGCTAAAAGGAATATTTAGGGCAGAAAACAACACTCACATTATTTTTGGGTTGTACCTTTCCTTTCAATTTCGGCCAGGGCTTCAAGGGAGAGGAAAAAGGGCTTTATTTGAGTAGTAAAAATAATTTGGATATGTGGGAGTGGGTTGGGCTTGTAGGCATTTCGGCCTAGGTTGGGTTTTGGGAGAGATAGGTCATGGTTTGGGTTTTGGTGTGGGATGGATCAATGAATTCAACCCAAAATGGATCATAACACTTAGACATTAAACACTTGATTTCTTTTAATACTAGTGGCATGTGTGAAGGTGTACCCTGGGGTATATCATCCTCCCCTTCTTCGGAAGAGTTTGCCCTAAAACTCGGAATATCTTTAGGCTCAAAGGGCTGAGGTCGGCGATGTTGAATGTGGCGGAGACTCCATATTCTCCCGGTAGATTGATCTTGTAGGCGTTATCATTGACCTTCTCTAGAACTTTGAAAGGACCATCCGCTCGGGGCAGTAGCTTGGGCTTGCGTTTTGTGGGGAAACGCTCTTTCCGAAGATGAATCCAAACCAAATCTCCAGGCTTGAACTCAGTGGACTTCCTTCTCTTGTTGATTCGTGCACTCACTCTCTCATTCATTGCTTCAATTCTCTCTCGGACCTTGGCGTGAAGGTCTTGAATCTCCTTGGCTCGTTCCTCGGCTTCCGCACTATATTTCTGTGTTATCACAATTGGATCAAGTTCAAGTGGGGTAAGGGGGTTAGAACCATAAACAACCATAAATGGAGAAAAACCGGTTGTCTTGCTTGGTGTCCGATTATAAGCAAACTCCGCATGGGGTAGAAGTTCTTCCCATTGCCTATATTTTTCTTGATGAGCACCCATAACAACGTTCCAAGGGTTCGGTTCGTTACTTCTGTTTGGCCGTCGGTTTGAGGGTGGTGAGAGGTGCTAAATTTGAGCTTGGTTTCCATCTTTCTCCAAAGTGTCATCCAAAAATGACTAAGGAATTTGCTGTCCCGATCCGATACCATGCTTCGAGGAATCCCATGTAATTTGACAATGTCTCGGAAGTAGAGATCAGCGATTTGTGAGGCGTCATGTGTGGTTAAGCATGGCACGAAATGGGCCATCTTTGAGAACCGATCTACCACGACCATGATTGAATCTTTCCCTCGTTGTGTCCTAGGCAGCCCCGAGATGAAGTCGAGGCTAATATCTTCCCATGGGGCCGTGGGGAAGGGCAGGGGAAGATACTTTCCTTGAGCTAAAGAATGGCTCTTGGCTGTTTGGCAAAGGTTGCACCGTTTGATGTAGTGCTCCACGTCTCGTTCCATCTTTGGAAAATAGTAGTGTTCACGCAGCATCATGTGGGTCTTCTCGATGCCAAAATGCCCTGCTAGTCCTCCTCCATGTACTTCTTCGATGAGGGTTTCACGAAGACTACATTTTGGAATGCATAACTGATTTCCTCGGAACAAGTAACCGTCCTTAATGAGGAATTCTCCCTGGGGCCGCACAAGACACTTGGAAAATGTGTCTTTGAAGTCTTCATCCTCCTTGTATAGCTCATGCACAAGATCAAAACCAACAATTTTGGCACTAAGGGCCGTTAGTAAGAGGTGTCTCCGGGAGAGGGCATCGGCTCCTTTGTTCATGGACCCATTCTTGTGCTTTATGGTGAAGGTGAAGGTTTTAATGTATTCGACCCATTTGGCATGACGGGGCCTGAGTTTGTGTTGCCCTTGAATGTACTTCAAGGCCTCATGATCAGAGTGAAGTATGAACTCCTTGCTGACCAAGTAATGACGCCAATGCTCTAAGGACCGAACAAGAGCATAGAACTCCTTATCATAAGTTGAATATCGCCTTCTTGTATCATTCAACTTCTCGCTGAAATAGGACACCGGGTGGCCTTCTTGGGAGAGGACAAGCCCTATCCCGACTCCGGATGCATCGCATTCTACCTCAAACAGTTTCTCAAAGCTCGGTAAGGCTAACACGGGGGCGTGTGTCAACCTTTCTTTGATGGTTTCGGAGGCTTGTTGAGCTTTTGGATTCCATTCAAACTTCTGGTTTTTGGTGAGATCCGTGATGGGTGCAGTGATGGTGCTAAAGTCACGCACAAACCTTCGGTAGAATGAGGCTAGACCCTGAAAACTCCGTACTTGTTGCATGGACGTGGGAATGGGCCAATCCCTTATGGCTTGTGTTTTCCTTTCGTCCACCTTGATACCATCACTAGAGATAAAGTATCCCAAGAATTCTGTTTCTTGGGAGAAGAATTGACTCTTCTCCAGATTCCCATAGAGCTTCTCTTCGTCCAATCTTTTAACCACTAAGGTGAGGTGGTTAATGTGCTCTTCTTCACTCTTACTGTAAATCAAGATGACGTCAAAGTAGACTACAACAAAATGACCTATATATGGCTTCAAGACTTGGTTCATCAACCGCATGAATGTGCTCGGGGCGTTGGTCAGCCCGAATGGCATAACCAACCACTCGTAGAGGCCAAACTTCATTTTGAAGGCAGTCTTCCATTCGTCACCTTCGAAGATACGGATTTGGTGGTAGCCGCTTCTAAGATCAATCTTTGAGAAAACCTTCGAACCGTGAAGTTCGTCCAGCATATCCTCGAGCCTAGGTATTGGGTACCTATATTTGATAGTGATCTTGTTAATGGCTCGGCTATCACAACACATTCTCCACGTACCATTTTTCTTTGGTACCAACAAAGCCGGAACATCACAAGGACTTAAGCTTTCACGAACAAAGCCCTTTGCTAGTAACTCATCCACTTGTTGTTGGATCTCCTTTGTTTCTTCGGGATTCATTCTATAGGCTGGTTTGTTCGGTAAGGCAGACCCGGGAATGAGGTCGATCTTGTTTGGATATCTCTTTTCGGGGGCAGGCCGTGTGGTACATCTTCGGGGAAGACGTGGGCATATTGTTCAAGGATGGGAACGGCTAGAGAATGGGGCTGCTTGGGAGGGGCAGTGGGTTCGGCCATCTCAAGATCAAGGAGAATGAGGTCCTTGAATCCTTCAAGTTCATGGTGTTCGGATTGGAGTATAGTGGAAATGAGGGGTGGAGGGGTGTTGTTGCTGTTTTGGACCGTGGGTGAGGAAGGTGGGGGTAAGGGAGTGTTGGGTAATTTTCTTCTTATTCATAAGGAATGAATAGGTGTTCAAGTAGCCATCATGCTGCACTTTGTTGTCGAACAACCAAGGACGTCCCAAAAGGACGTGGCATGTGTCCATGGGAATAATGTCGCACCAAATGTCATCCTTATAAGTCTTGCCGATGCTCAGCGAGATCAAGCACCTCATGTCAACACGTAAGCCCTTGCCTTGGTTTAGCCATTGAATAGTATAAGGCTTGGGATGAGGGGATACCTTCAAATGTAGTTTTTCCACCACTGTTTTGGAGGCCACGTTAGAGCAGCTCCCGCTATCGATGATTAACGAACAAACCTTCTTCTGAATGGTACAACGGGTATGAAAGATGTTCTCCCGTTGTAGTTGCTCCTCGGGGCATGGTATGGCACTTAAGGTCCTTCGGATGACCAAAAGTTCACCATCGTCGGGGCCAACACATTCTTCTTCCTCCTCCTCGGCTACTTCTTCATCCCATACGGGATTGTACTCTTCATCATCATACTCAACCAAGGCCATTATTTTCTTGTTTGGGCACTCATTGGCGTAGTGACCAGTTCCTTGGCATCGGTAACAAACGGGGTTTTTTTTGTTGGTTGTAGGGGCTGTTTTAGGTGGGGGAGGAGTAGGATTTGGCTTAGATGGTGTTTGGGATTTGGGGGTTTGGCCGTGGGCAGTAGGGGTGAGTTTTGAGGGGGTATATGTGGGGCGTGAGTAAGGGGGAGGGTTTCTTGAGAGAATGGCTTTGGATTTCTTCATTTGAGCCTCAACTTTGAGATCCAACTTAGTAAGCTCTTCAAATGTAGTGTAGCCTTGCAGCTCCACCTTATTGGCTATTTGGAGATTTAGGCCAAAAAGGTACCTTACAAAGGTTTGCTCTTCGTTCTCTTGTAAGTCACACCTGAGTAGGAGTTCCTCAAACTCTCGGGTGTAGTCTTCCACGGACTTCGTACCTTGCCTAAGCGTTTGAAGCTTAGCAAAGTTCTCTCGGGAATATTCAGTGGGTAGGAACTTCTTCTTCAAGAGACTCCTCATCTTTTGCCATGAGTCAACGGGAGGCTTCTCACTTCGAATCCGTTTGGTGCAGGTGTTCGTCCACCAAGTGGAGGCGTACTTGCGGAATTTTAAGGCCACAATCTTGACCTTCTTGTCGTCGGAGACTTCTTTGAAATCAAAGACTCGTTCCACCGTCTCTAACCACTCAAGAAATTCATCCGGGTCATTCTTTCCTTCAAAGATTGGAATATCAACTTTGAAGTCAGAATATGACTTTTCGTGAGCCCTAGCTCTCATGGTGGCACTAGAGCTAGATTCCTCTTCATCTTCACTATCTCGTAGCATGGACATCTTTTGTTTTTTGAGCTTAGCCACTTCTTTGGCTAGGTACTCCACTTGAGCTTGTAAAGCAGCGTTTGAGGCCACAAGTTCTTCATGAGACATGCTTCGGGATCGGTTTGACATGGTTGATAGGAAAAGGGATGAAGTGGGAGTAGGGATTGAATGTGGTTAGGAAAAATTTAGGGAGGGAGTTGGGGAAGTGTGTATGGTCCTTGAGAGTTGATTAACAACTAGCTCTGATACCAAATGATGTGCCCAAGCTTAGGAAAAGGCTATGGATAAATAAGGGCAGATTATAGAGAGGAACATATGGTGAAGAATAGGTTGGAAAATGGTGAAGAAAGTATGGCAGTTTAGAAAAGGTGATATGGCAGAATGAAGGGCAAGAGAAAAGCAATATTATGGAGTGGTTTTTGATGAAGAGATGAAGTGTTTAAATGGGGGAAAGGGGATGGACGAAATTGGGAGAGAAAAAGGGAGTTTTGTGGTGGTTTTCTGGTTGTATAAGGATAAACCAAATAATGAATAAGAGATAAACACACTCTTATTTTATTTGGGGCTATTTCTTTTCACACAATAATATTCACTACTATTATATGAAATAGACTCCTAACACACACTCAAAAGTAGCCAACTTTAGAGATATTTCATTAGGAAATGGGGAGAACTAGCTTCACACTAATTCAAAGATTTTACTCAAAGAGTAAAGGGAATAAAATTACAATCT